GCATCACTCAAATCAAGAAATATTTTACCAATCAACTATTTACTTTATGCAGAACCAGTACTGAATGTATTGTCAAAGGGTTCATTTGCACTTTAAGCGTGCATTTTTCGTTGACTATTAACATGGAACTTACTTTTTGATTCAGTTTTAGATATTTATAATAATAGTTTTTTTGCTTTCCGTTATTAATCTGAGCTGTAAATATGTATATGTCATCTTTCCTCTTTAGTCCTAATTGACGTTGTAAAGCGCTAAAGTACCTGTGTACATATCCAGATGGAACATGAAAATGTACAATCGTAAAAGCACAATATACTTATATTGTATTGCGTAAATAAATGTCCAAAACGCTGTATTGAATGTGTGTTGTGGTTTATTGTCTGCACCAAAACGCTAATGAAAGTTTGAAAACGTTAATGAACCCACGCAAACATACTATTCATGATTGTCAAATTCAATACTAATTTTCTTAAAGAAAGTTCCATCGCTCTATTGAGACTCCGTTCGCCTTATTGTATGCCTGTTCGCTCTAATGACAATGCTTCTTCGCTTCAATAGAAACGATGATACAAATGAATGTCTATTCACTCATTCTCTGATAAAACAACCCCCGGATTAGCATGACCGTTATTTGGCGCGCTTTTACTATTTTAGGTGACGTCAACTAAATAGTTATCTAAGTTAGATACATTTATCTAACTATTCAACAGTTTGACTGAATGCACTCTATTAAAAAATATATAAATATAAATATAAAAAAATTCTAAATGAGGTCATTCAGTCGTGAGTGCCTTGGAAGTAATCCTTCCGTAACATTCTTCACAGTTACCTGTCTTTTCTTTTCTTGGGCACTTAGACCAATGAAATAAAAAGATATGAAATATCCAGTTGACATTAAAATAAATTGCTCAAAAGATGACGCGGGGACTTCACTTTTATTTTCTTCCCCGTGGGGCGGGGCTTTCATTACCTTTCACTGAGGGAAAAAGTGAAGTCCCCGGGTATGCCCCAGGGCGGGGGGGTGCGGGGGATGTCAAATGACTGGCGCATTACCTGTCTTTTCTTTTCTTGGGCACTTAGACCAATGAAATTCAGCATAAATTAAAGATCCAGAATAATACCATTTTTGATATCATAAAATCATCGAAAATTTTTAATCGGGATAAAGAGTTTCCTGTAAAATCTTTAATATATAATTATTACAATTGTAAACGGTTTCGTAAAGATCGTCCATAATTCAGAGAATATATGATTTTTGAACTTTAAAACTTTTACAAGAAATGTATACTGGTTTGGACATTTTTGCCTGCCAACGTACATATCCGTTGTGAAATTTATTTAGAAGAAAAAATCTAATTGCTATTGACCAGTAAAGGAGAATGAAATACCTGTCTACTAATCCGCGTTGTACAAATATGACCATCAAAAATTCTCGATTATAATTGGTCTGTTATCACTGAACAAACAAGCGTAATCATTGTCCAAAAAAAAAAAGAAAAAGAAGAAAGAAAAAGAAAGAAAAAAGAAAAAGAAAATCAAATTTTGATGGACATATTATTAAAATAAAATAAAATGGGTTCTCCTGCAGTTTAAAAAAATATCACAAATGCGATTCGAAAATCTTGATTTTTTTAAACTGTAGTCGTGATATTTTTTGGAAACTGCACTCGAACACATTCGATTTCTTATCATAAACAGTATTGAAGAGCATATATGTTAAAATACTAACAAGAACTAAAACTTTGAACATACCTATCTTCACAGGTGTTGCGCATGAGTAAAAGCAAACTCGCCAAGATCAGTTCGGGTCACGTGATTAACCTTGTATCCAATGACATCCAGCGCCTCGACCTGGCAACACAGAACCTCTTTGCCTCGTTACGATCTCCGTTTGACCTCGTTGTGCTGGGAATTCTCTTGTGGATTCTAATTGGATGGCAAGCTGTCACTGGTCTGGCCTTCGCACTCATTCTCATTCCCTACGAGGCCGAGATGACAGGCTGGGTTGCTAAGTTAAGGATGGAGTCCGCACGCGTGACTGATCGCAGGCTTGAGGTGATGAATGAGATTATTTCTGGTATAAGGGCCGTTAAGATGTATGCATGGGAATGGCCCTATAGGGACGCTGTCAAGAAAATCAGAAGGTGAGCAGTTGATGAGAAAAATACTGAGCAGTTTCCATCCATCCATCCATCC